CTAAATAAAGAAATGAGGCATCACATTTTATGTGCCGGTTCCCATATGTAAGAGTTAATATTTATCATTAACAATAACAAATATTGAATAATAAAATCACTCTTACCACAAATCACGAGATTCTTTCGTGAAAAATATTTTTTTCCTTCCTTCAGTTTAACATTGCTGGCACCGATAAGAAATTCTGTTAAAGCAACACCATTCTCATTTACTACAATCTCATTCGTGAGATACCACTTATGTTTCTTAATCAAATTTCGATCATCTTCATCAACGGTAATATAATAATTTGTCGGTTTATCATTTTTATCAAATAATGCGATTTGATATAGGTTGTTAACACAACCAAAAAGACTAGTTGCTATGAGTCTTCCAGGATTCGTGTTAAAACTATTATACCAGATTCCGCTCATCTTATCCTAATTTCTAAATGAAATTAAACTTGTTATAAATATATTTTCAATTATTAATGAATAACAAATATCTAAACACATTCGTTAAACTAAATCAACAAATCCAAAAATTGGGAAAAACGTCAATACAAAGCATGGGAGCGATAGCGACCAATGCTGCGTATACGATGGCGTTTCCCAATTTTACGCAGACCACTCTGCTAAAGAAATAGGCGGAACATAAAAGTGTTCGGTTTCCCATTTTAAACAACGTTTAATACTACGTATTAAACATCGTTTAAATCTAAAACAACAAAAATCACTTATAAATTTTTAATTTAATAAATTTTATTAATAATAATAAAAAATAATGCAAATTAATTAAAACATTGAATTAAAATATTATATTGAATTTTGATAAAATATATGTTAATTATTTCAAATAATAAAAAATTTATCAATTTTAGATGATCAATAATTTGCTAATTTTAAAAATGTTTCCCTATCAAGTGTTTTATATGGTATATCATTCCTTAACGATTTTGGAATTTCTAATTCTTGATATTTACTTTCTTCGATAATTTGACTCCATCGTTTATTCACTTTTTCAAATAACTCCCTTTCTTTATTTTTAATTATCTCAGATATACGTGGTAAATTTAAATATATATTTCTTAAATCATTATCAGCCTTTCTACGATGTCTTATTTCATTATTCTCTTCATATTTTTCAACCAACTTATCAATTTCTTCTCTCTCTTCGAAAGTAAACCGACTACTTTTCTTTTCAGATATTTTTATTATTTGTAATAAATAAAAATAATATTTACTTTCTGAAAAATCACTAAAATGATCAGGTTTTATTAACTTGGTATCAATTATTTGATATAATCCTGAGTATATATAACTATAATCTCTTTTATTTATGTCGTCAAGTAAATCTTTAAATCTGATTATATTATTATCATCCATTTTAAACAATGTTTAATATACTGTATTAAATATTGTTTAAATTTAAAACAACGAATATTTATAAATTTCTAATTTGGTAAATTTTATTAATGATATAAAAGTATACAAGTTAATTGAATATCAAATTAATAAAAATTAATAATTATCATAATATAAATAAGGAATTTTTTAATTTTTTTTTATCAGGACAAAATGATCCAAATTTTAATAATTTCAGTTATTTTAGTATTTCTATATAAATTCTATAATATTTTTTCATTATATCTTTTTTACAAGAAACAAGGAATTGAAGTCTTAATATTTGATAAT